CCTGCCTCTGCCTCCCGAGTGCTAGGATCAAAGGCATGCACCACCACTGCCCCGCTGTGGGCACTGATTTTATAGGCTGCCTAATTTCCAGTAATTGCCTCGTTTCTATGTGAAACTATGTCATGAAGAACCGGAGTCGTCATCACTCACCCGAGGACCCAGCAAGGTCAGAGCTGACCTCCACCTCCAGGACTCTGCACCTGTGTACCTGGCCTTTCCTGAAGGAGCTCAGAAACGGACACACGTGAGATGACAGACGGGCTTACATTTTATTTAGCCTAGCCTGGCATCAAGTTCACCATGTAACCCAGGCTGGCCCTGAACTCAAGGTAATCCTTCTGCCATTCTAGGCAAACACTATACTAACTGAGCTACATCCCCAGCCCATCATGGCATTAATCTAAAAGGCCTAACTGGGAGATGATGTTGTCTTTCTAATTGTGTATCCTTTACTTGACATATAACTACCTAGTTGACTGAGCTCAGGCCCAAATCTGTATGGCTGGCTTTGTTGGTGGTCATCTCTGTGCTGGCGTGGAGTAGGCCCTGCACCTTCTTATGGTCACCCAGTGTCCCGACTAGTTTTCTGTCATCTTGATACAAGCTAGAGTCATCTGAAAGGAGGGAACCTCCACTGAGAAAATGCCTCCATCATATCCAGTTGTAGGGATTTTCTTAACCGGTGATTGAAGTGGGAGGGCCCAGCCCTCCTCCATGGCCTCGTCTAAGTTCCTGCCTCCAGATTCCTGTCCTGTTTGAGTCCTTGTCCTGACTTCCTTCAATGATGACCAATGAGATGTAAATTTCAGCCTAATAAACCATTTTCTCCCCAAGTTGCTTTGGTTATGGTTTCATCACAGCAATAGGAACATGAAGCCAGACAGTTAACTAACTCTATATGAAGCTGAACCAATGTTTTTATTGACAGCTTGGAGTCACCTTGATTAGAGGGAACCTCAGCTGAAGAATTGCCCGGATCGCATTGACCTGTGGCTGTGACTATGAGATATTGTCTTGATTGATGTAGGAGGGTCCGGTCTACTGTGGGCGGTACCCTCCCTAGGCAGGTGGGCCTGGGCTGTAAAGAAAGCTAGTTGAGCAAGCCAGGGAGAGTGAGCCAGAAAGCAGCATTCTTCTGTGATGTATGCCTTGGTTCCTGCTTGAGTTCCTACTGTGACTTCCTTCAGTCATGAACTGTGACCGGGAAGTGAAAGGCAAATAAACCCTTTCCTCCCCAAGTTGCTTTGGCTCAGAATGTTTTGTCACAGCAACAGAAAAGCAAACCAGAATAAACAGGATCTTCTAAATTTGGCGGATTTCTTCCTCCTCCCTGTTCCTGTAGGAAGGATGCAGTTTGAAACACAATTTGAACTAGAAAAGCCACGAAAGGAGGTCTTATTCTTCAGCTTGTCACTATGGAAGAGTCTGTTTTCTTTCAAACCTTTAAAGAAATCCCAATGAAACAACATCTTCCTGGCCTGGTTGTGACAATGTGTTACCTAAGACACAGACAAGCTTTGTGTATATGCATGTTAGTGTGTATGTGTGTGTGTGTGTGTGTGTGTGTGTGTGTGTGTGTGTGTGTGTGTATGTGTGTGTGTATTTAAGACAATGAAGCCCAGGCTGGCCTCAAACTCTTCGAAACCTTCCTGCCTCAGCTTCCACAGGGAAAGGGTTACAGGGGTAAGTCACCATGCCTAGCTTCAGATAACCTTCTTTAAACTTAAGTATTATCTCTAGGCATGGGGCTGAATGCCTTTAATCCAATACCTAGCATGCAGGAAGCAGAGGCAGGAGGATCCCTATGAGTTTGAGGCTAGCCTGGTCTACAACGCACTCTCCAAGATAGCCAGAACTATAGAGAGACCCTGTCTCAATGCATCCCCCCAAAACAAAACAAAAAAAAACCCACGCAAATGTGGAATCCTCCCTAGCCACCATGAAAGTCCAGGACTCAGTCCTGGGTGCTTCAGAAAGAGAGCCCAAGTTTCCAGAGGAGAACAGGAGAGCGTCTGCCCTTTAGAGACACCCTGCCAAGAGGCTCCTTAGTAATGAAGAACCCCTGGGAATAGGGCTGTTTTCATAAGCTGGAACAAATGATGTAAGTGACAGCCAGCGGGCTGAGATTCGGGGACATGGACAAAGCTACCTTGACGCCATCAGGCATGTCCCTGCGGTGTCACAAAGATACCACATTTTCAAGTTGCTCCTTTCTCACCTTCTACTACATGCCTTTAGGAGAATAGTTTCTTTTCACACCTACAGCCTGCCCTTGCTTTTACATACCTTCGCCACCACACATAATCATAAAGTATCATAGTTATCACTCCCTGTTACCCACAAAGCAGTCCCCTGAGTGTAGAAACAGTCTACTGAGATGCACAAATAAAACCACGGATTCTTCAAGGGGCGGATGCCCCCGGTGGTGAACAACAAGTAAGTAGCCAATATGCAGAACTCAAAAAATGCCTGACACACACTTTTCCCCCAAATCTGTTCAAGTTCAAAGTTTATAATGTATATGACATTGCCAGTCTTGACCAGGTCACAAGTTTATTACAACTTACAAACTATTTTGAAAAATAATGTGTCTCACATATTAACACTCTCTTGGAATCAGAAAACCTATAGACTGGATGAGAAAACTGAGGTACCACCAGTGACGTTGGCCTTTTTAAGTCCGTGATACCGTTTTCTGGAGCCAGAGTTGGTGTGGTCTAATGGACTTCCGGGAAAACCATCCCTCTAGAAGGCAGGTCTGTACCCTGAGACATAGAACTAGTCAGCTCAGAATAAGGACCAACCCTGAAGATTTATCATTTATTTACCATTTCTTCAGCAGGAGTGCATGAAGAGGGGTGTGGAGGTGAGCAGGGGAATGGACAGTCAGATCCCATCCCACAAACCCTCCTTCATCTCCAGACAGAACACTAAGCGAAAGTTCCTGATAAAAACAGACCGAAGACCCCAATTCAGACCTCCTGAGTCCAGGAGAAGAACCTGGCCTTGGCTTTGAGAAATGCTTACTGAGAACCCGACATAGTGATGCATGCCTACAATCCAGAGGCAGAGGCAGTTCAAGACCAGCCCGGGCTATATAGTGAGTTGAAGGCTACATGGTGAGATTAAAAAAAAAAAAAAAAAAAAAAAGCAAAAGCAAACAAACACAAGCTTTCTAGAGAAGCCAAGAGGGATGCTCTCAGAAGGTAAGCTGAACCCTGGGTACGAAAGGCACCTCCCAGAGGTCGGCCCATGTTCAAGTGTAACCGTGGGAGACTGCGATCCCGCCTGCATCATCATGTAGGCATACTGCTGTTGCACCTTCAGGGGGAGGAAACGAAGCACAAAGCAGCCTGGCTGAGCATCCTGCCTCTCCACAGGAGTTCCTGTACCATCCCCTCCTGGTGGGGGAGGGTGGTAGGACGGGATGAGAGGGACCAGTCACCACCCCTTGTTATCAGCCAGATTACGTGACCAGAAACGCGCCGGCCCTTGGAACAGACAGGAACAAGTTTTGAAATGTCCTAATAAATATCTCTTGGAGTCTAATGTTTTTGAAATTGGTTGGCCCTCTTCCCCTTGGAGCAAGTGGAAAGATCGTCTTGAGGGCTTTGATATGCTTTTAGGTCTTCTGTAACTTAGAGGATTTTACCTTCCACAAGACGATCTTCTCTACCTCAAGTTAGTTTTAAGTTACATCTGAGAACCATAAAAAGTTTAGAACAATGGAAAAGGCTGTAACTTTACAGAAACTGAACCAGAGCCTAGTCGGGTGGTCAGCTGTAGGAAGAGGTGGGGGGTCAAGAGGATGACCAGTAATGCCGAGGAGTGGGTTGTTCGTCACCACGGCAAATCGCTGCTTTAAATATGTTTTACTTTGAGTCAAGTTCGTCAAGTGACACACACTGAAGTTGATAAAACTCTACCGCCGTCAACTCTAATCTCCAAAGAGAAGACATTTGCTGCGGCCTACAGGGGATGGTCCACCCTGCATCCTGGGCTGACTCCAGATTCCCAGTGGATTCTGCTTCTGCAGTGGCTTCATGCGCTGCTGCTGCTGCTGCTGCTGCTGCTGCTGCTGCTGCTGCTGCTGCTGCCATTTCCAAGGAGATGTCTCTGGTGGCTTCATCACCGGCTCTCACATTCGAGTGTCCTCGATGGGGATGTCATCCTGTGAACAGGGAAAGAAAGACCGACACTCAGCAGATCTCCTTGGGGATGTGAGATAAGGCAAAAATCATAAAGTAGGAGTGAGCCAGCAGGCAATGTGCCTGATTGTATTTATTTGCACGTCATTTAATCTTCAAAACCTTAGGGGAGTTAGGTGGTTCTAGTAACTATGTTATAGGTGAAACGGTTAAGGCATTGAGAGAGGGAAGTGACTTCCCAGGATCGCACAGCTAGCAAATGGTAGACTGGGGACTTCATCCCCGGGAGCAGAGCTTGAGATGCTAAATTACTTTCCAGGGCTAACAGAGCAGGAAGGTAATCCTTTAGCTACCACCTTACACTTGATGTCTATGTAACTTTCCCCTGCTCTATGGTGTGTGTGTGTGTGTGTGTGTGTGTGTGTGTGTGTGTGTGTGGTGTATATACAGTTTCATGCAATGTGTGTACAACTGCACATACATATCTGTGTGTAGAGGCAGATGCTGGATGTCTTCCTAAGTTCTTGTCCATCTTGTTTGTTTGTTTATAAACAAGAGTCTTGTTGTGTAGTCCTGGCTGGCCTGGAACTAGCTATGTAGACCAGGCAAGCCTCAAGAGATTCACCTGCCTCAGTCTCCCAAAGGCTGGATTAAAGATATGTACCACCATGCACTGCTTTGTCTACCCCCCTATCCTTTTGAAGAGCGGTGTAGAGGATTGGAGTTTAGATCCTCACTTTTGCATGGCGAGAACTTTACCAACTGCACTCTTCCCCCTTCCTCGTGAAGAATGCTTTGCTCCGTCCCTTGAACATCACATAGCCCTGCTGGCAGGCAGAGCCCACATAGTCTGTCTTGTTTCTGCCGCTGCGTTTTCCCCACTTTGAAGGCCCAGTCTCTCCCACAGCGATGAAGACAGCCTGTGCTTCTTGGGTGCTGACTGAACAAGAGCGACTGTAATTTATTTGATCAATTGATTTCTGTCAACCAAAGCCACAACCTGGGATCAGATTGGGAGTGGGAAACCACTTCTTATGGCATCCTGCCTGTCTCTGCCAGCCCAAGGAAAGACCCAGGAGAGGCCTGGGTGCCTGGGGGAAATGCCAAGAGACCTCTCATAACTACTGTCACTGGGGAGCCCTTTGTCCTGGTGTCTGAGGTGTTCTGACTCTAATCCAGAGGAGACAGGAAGCAATAGTCCTTGTAGAGTAGACAGATAATTCACACAGACAGTGGAGCTTCACGAACAGTTTGTTCTTATACCTTGAACAGGTGCCTACCTGGCCAGCGCTGAGGGAGCTTAGAGACCTTGGACAATTTCCAGGCCCACCATACCTTCCGATCTAAAACGAGGAGGGTGAACCAACTAGTACTGAAGTTGATTGGGGATGGGGGTGTGTGGAGAGGTGCAGGGCGGGGGGTCTTCTTTATCTGAGCTGCTGTTTGCCGGGACAGTGCTTCTGAGGTATTCTCTCCCTTGGCCAGGGCTCTCTGGGTTAGGAATGCAGAGTGTAAAGCTGGAGAGATGACCAGAGGGCCTGCCCCATAGTTCCTGCCTGAATTTTCTTCAGGAAGCCACCCTCGACCCGAGACTCTCCAGAAATAACAAGGCCCCTCCAACTTCGCACCCAGGAGACCCCCCACTCCTGAGGACCAGAAGAGGCTGTCAGTGAGAGGTGTGGGAGCCACTGGTGGAGGACTACTTGGACTCCAAGAGGACTAAGGGTTTGGGTATTTACGGTAATTTGGGGATTTAGTGGAATCTCCCAGTTCTAGAAGATTCTAGAAGACTGTTCATTCTAAATCAAATGTAAAGGAGGCTCAGATAGAAATGGAAAGTATTAAAGTGTCATACTCCCTGAGTGCATGTGACACTTTCTTCTCCCCAATTTCCTTGGTATGATAAAACCTGAGGACCTGGGAGGAGCATTCCCAGAGCAGTAACCCCTCTTGTACCTGGGCTCTTGTTCTGTCACTGGGAGTCATTTACTTCGAGCCAAGGGACTTTACTCCTCTTTAAAAATTCATCTGTTCAGCTGGACATAGTGGCGCACACCCGTCCCAGTCCTCAAGAGGCTGAAGCAGGAGGATTTCCTTGAGTTCAAGACCCCCTGGACTAACAGTGAGCATCAGGCCAGCCTGAGCTATAGAGTAAGACCTTGTCTTGGGAAACTAATCAATTAGCTAAAAGTCATTCATCTTCTGTACATGTATTTTTGAAAGACCCACCCCGTTCCAGAGTCTACAGTAAGTTTGGAGGGCATACTAGAAGAAAAGTGCAAGAGACAATAATAATAAAGAGGAGAGGAGCCGCAAGGCTGGTGGCTCCGGGGTTAAGAGCCCTTGGTGCTCCTGCGGAAGACCTGGGTTTGGTTTCCAGCACCCACATGGTGGTTCACAACCATCCCTAACTCCACTTCTAGAGGATCCAATACCTTCCTTTACACTCCGCAGGCACCAGGCATGCACGTGGTGCACCTACATACATGCAGGCCAAACATGCATACACCTAAAACGAAGTAAACAAATCTAAAAAATAAATCAACAAAACTCGGGCAAATGTCAAAGGAGGATTATGGGAGAGGGTAACTGTGGGGCGGGGACAGATTTCTTTGACTGAGTGGTCACAAGAGAGGCTTTAGTGAGGAGCATCGGCTGAGCTGAGACCTGAGGATGGGTCAGAAGGGGCCATCTGAGGATCAGGAAGAGGAGTGTTCTTGTCGGAGGGGGCTACAAAGGTAGAGCTCCGAGTAGGGAATGGACCCGGTGTGCTGCAGGGAAAAGACGCCGGATTGCTAGAGCGCAGCTCTGGGGGGAGCCAGGGAAGGAAGTGTGTGTCCATTCCGAATCGGATCTGTTTTTGGAAAGCAGATGGCTGCAGACGTTAACGAAGGATGTCAAGGCGAGATCGCACCAGCTTTAAGGCACATCCTGCATCCCAAGACTGCTCTCTTATGCGAGAAAAGAGGAGGAAATCCAAGACACAGGGACAGAAAGGCCACAGCGAGATGGTGACAGAGGCTGGAGAGAGGCATCCTCCCCCCACAGACTGCCAAACACTTAGGACAGCCACCAGAAGCTGGGGGAGGCAGGGAAAGATTGTTAGGGCGCCAGCAGCAGCTAACAGAAGAGGGACAGGGTCTCTTTCAGCCCTCTGGAGGGGCTCAGTTTATTAATTTTGGTGTCTCTGACGTTCTGAACTGTGAGAGACAACATCCTTATTATTCATTCATTCATTCATTCATTCATTCAGAGACGGGGTTTTTAACTCAGGCTGTCTTGGACTATGTAGCCTACACTGGCCTTGAACTCATGCCATCCTTCCATCTCACCCTGAGTGCTGGGATTTCAGGCATGAGCAGCACACTTGGTTTATTTCTGTTGCTTCAAGCCTGTGGTGCTGTGCCTAGAACCCTAACAAAAGAGGTGAGAAATCCTGCCAAGAGCAGCTCCATGCCAGCCAACGACCCATCGACCGACGGACGATGCGGTGACCGTGTAGAGAATGAATCTTATCGAGAGAACGAAAAGGGTGCCAGAAAGACCACCATAGCAGATGCACGTGGTGGCGGAGGGAGCTACAAAATCGGAAAGGAAGACATAAAGGTGACTGAGCTGAGGAAACAGTCAGAACAGGCTGGGGTGGGTGCCCCGTTGTCCTTGGGGAGCTTCCAAGCCTCTACAGAACCGGGTCTTCCCCTGAAGCAACAGGTGAGTTCGGGGGGATTTCTGGGAGCTGGGGGGAGCAGACAGGTGGAGGGGGAAGGTCCAGGGTGTGGAGGCTGACAGAAGGGCAGGGACTGTGCTGTCTCCTTTCTCAGATGCAACACGGGACATTGCCTGCGACTACGTGGATGTCACACAAAGCCTCCTCTGAAGACCCAACCCACGGCCACTTGTGGTTGTCAGTGTCCCCGATGTCTTGTCCCTGCTCTCTCCACACAGACTCACCCCGGAACCCCAACGGCAGCACCCCGCAAAACCCCCCAGCAGACCTTGCCAGCATCTGTCACCCAGTTGTCAAGCCCTGCTCACCCCATGCACACCCCAGAAGCTGGCCCAGTCAGCTGGAGGCAGGCCAGGCCACGAGACACACTTCCCTTCTTGTCTCTCCACAGAGACAGGCCGTCTCTACTCAGTCAGCACACGGTGAGGGGCCTGGTGACTTTGTTCCTGCACACTGAGCTGATTGAGCACCAGCCTGGGAGGAACAGGACACGGGACAGCAGGGGCAGCTCTGGCCATGACCCGGTTTGAACCACGCGGGCCACCTACCGTGGAGACTTCGTGATCATTCTGGATCTCATTGCTGGTCTCTCCTGGGACACCGTCGACCCCTGGGCTGCAGCCCGGCTCCAGAGATGCTCTCTCCTTTTGCTTGGTCTCCAGCTCGGGGACAACAGTGCCCTCTACTCTTCCAGGAGAACTTTGGGGGGCCTTCTCCCTGACTGCTCCCGCCTCTGGTGTCTTGGCATCTGCGCTTTTCTGTCCGGACCCCTCCTCTTCATCTGCCACACTCTCCTCAGAGGCTGTCCCTTCAGTGGCCTTCTCAGTGTCTGTATGCTCTCCGGCTGCTGTCCCTTTCTCAGCCTCTGCGCTGCAGGTTTGGGGGGGCTCTGGGGCCTCCAGACCACCCTGGCCAGCTGTGTCTGGATTCTGTCCAGCCTTGTCTCCCGCACTGGCCTCCTCTGGGGTCCCGACCTGCTCTTCTGGCTTCTCCAGGCTGTTGCTCCTTCGAGGAGCCTTTTCTGCAGACCCCAGGGGTCCCTCCACCCCATCTCCCAAGGCCTCTTGGTTGGGTGGGGGAGACCCGGGGGCCTTGTTCTTGCCAGGGAACACATCATCCCCGTTCTCTTCCCTGGTACCATTTTCCTGAGATGGTTCCACAGCCCTGTAGTCCCCAAGGTCCCCACAGTCTGACTGGGACCGCCGGAATTGCCGGGAGGGAGGACGTCTTTTAATTGAGCCTCTTGTCCGCACCTGGGAGAAGATATGAGGGACTATTATCTTGAAAATAAAAAAGCCCAAGAGAAGAACTATGCATGCTGAATGAACTCACTGAAGGTCCATTAGGTTTCCTAGGAGGGTGTGAAGTTATTTGCTGTTTATTATAAATCAGAACCTAGAGCAGCATTTCTAAACTTGTAGGTTAAGACCCCACAGGGGTTGCCTATCAGATATCCTGCTTATCAGATATTTACATTATGATTCATAACAGCAGCAGAATTATGAAGTAGCAACAAAATGCTTGTCTGGTTGGGGGGTCACCACAGCATTAGGAACTGTAGTAAAGGGTCGCAGCCTTAGGAAGGTTGAGAACCACTGCTCTAGAGGATTGTAAAACTACTTGGTAAGCTGCAGATTTTTGTCTCAGGAAAATACAAATGCTTTTCATCGTTTAATGATTTGGGCAGATATCTCAGTGAGTAAAGTGTTTGCTGTGGGTGAGTGAGGGCCTGAGTTTGGAGTCTCGGCACCTTTATGTGAAAAACAGAGACCAGCACACTAGCCAACTGGTGAGCTCTGGGTTCAACGAGAATGGCCCAAAACACTGGAGATGATGTCTCTTGACAAAAGCCCAAAGTTTGAACACCCCAAGTAGTTTCTTTGGGCACACCACAATATGGCGGAGCCAGAACTTACCTTAGTGTAGGAGGGCAGGTGAGTGCCTTCCGGGGGCTGGTCAAAGCTCACAGGCACCTCTTCTGCCTCACCTGGCTGAGACCGGATGCCAGGGCTACTGGGTGTGGAAGGGGGACTGTGAAATGGTGACACTATGGCCTTGAGTCCAGGACTTTTGGGTGAAGCCCCGGGCAGAAGAGCTGCTGGGTCAAAGGCTAAGTTGGCCTGTCGAGGAAAGGGAAAAGATGATGGCATCTGCTTCACTGGCCCTGCAGCTGGTTGAGGATGCCCAACAGGAAACTCTGTGTGCTTCTCCCCAACCAATTATCCGCCGTTACACTATGGCGGCTTCTGGAAGCATGGTCTACCTTCTGGAAGCATGGTTTACCTTCTGGAAGCATGGCCTACCTTCTGGAAGCATGGCCTACCTTCTGGAAGCATGATCTACCTTCTGGAAGCATGGTTTACCTTCTGGAAGCATGGCCTACCTTCTGGAAGCATGGTTTACCTTCTGGAAGCATGGTTTACCTTCTGGAAGCATGGCCTACCTTCTGGAAGCATGGCCTACCTTCTGGAAGCATGGTCTACCTTCTGGAAGCATGGCCTACCCATACCTGCTCACAGCAGGCTGCCTTGGGTGCTCAGATTATGATGAGGTGGATTCAATAGACACTCCAATAGCCCTGGCCTGGCACAGTGGTGTAGCCCCCCCCCCCCCAAGACAGGGTTTCTCTGTGTAGCTTTGGCTGCCCTAGAACTTGTTCTGTAGACCAGCCTGGCCTTGAACTCAGAGATCCACCCACTTCTGCTGGTTGCTGGGGTTAAAGGTATGTGCTCAGGAGACAGAGGTAAGCAGATGTCTGTGAGTTTGAGGTCAGTCTGTTCTACATTGGTGAGCTGGGACTACACAGTGAGACCCTGTCTAACAACAACAACTAACAATAATAATAATAAGTGGAACAGCTCCAATGAGTAGTCACAGGGGCCCAAGGACAAGCTGCTGGCAGCACCTTTAGCTCCCAGATTCTTGCAGTCCTTGGCATCCAGGTCACCTTCCCATCAGCCAGCAGCATTTGCTGCCTATCAATACCTGCTGTCTACGGCTATGACCTTAGCAAACACTCCGCTCAGTCAGCGTTGGGCTCCTGAGAGGAAGGGGGCCTAAACTTCCTGAGGTTCATGGCAGGCCTGCTTGTCCCTCAGGCCTCCAGGTAGAGTTCTGTCTTTGGAGACAGCACAAAGGTGGATTCTGCACTCTGCAGGGTGTCTCTCCTCTGACCCCCTGGGGCGTCACAGTACAGTTGAACCAGATCAAAACGGACACAAGGGAGACCAAAGGAAGAGTTACTCAAAGGTGACTAAAACCTAAGGGACTCTACAGGTTCAGTGAGGGAACATGTGGGAGACCCCAGATCAACCTTACAGACGGTAGAGCAGGAAGATGGTTATGGAGGGATTATGTACTAACAGTCCGGACAGGGCCTCACGAAGCCAGGCCTTCAACTCACTATGTAGCCAGGCATGGCCCCGAACTTCTGAGCTTCCTGATTCTGTCTTCAGAGTTTCGGGCATGCTCCACTATGTCCAGCTTTTGAGCGCTAGGAACTGAACTTTGAATTGAATTGGGTTTTCTGAACTCGGGCAACTGAGCTACATCACCAGGGCACAGATTTTTAGCGCCATCTGGGGGCACACCTCTTCCTCCTGCCCTTACAGACGCTAACCTACACAGTTGAGTAGATCTAACTGGGCTGGTCACATGTAAGACCTCTCAGAGAGGGGACCAGCAGGAGAGGCCGGTGGAGCACCAGAAAGTCCCACACACCCAATTATATTTAACATAGGATCTTTCTCCTACTAGCTGCTTATGATCTTGAGCAAATCTAAATGCCCTTTCTGAGACTCGGGTCCTCTATTTGTCCCAACTTTCAGTGACCTCCACAGCCTTTTATGACTGATTTCTGGGGGCTCTCATGCATTGCTTGCTAGTACCCCACACTCACCAGCCAGCCGCCTCCCCTCCCACCCGCCAGCACTCCCCTGAGCCAAGACTGATGACCTTGAGAGGTCCCAAGAGTTGTTAGTACTCTCAGGCTACAAAGCATTGCACATGTTTAGGAAGGTAGCCATAATTTACTGTGTGAATGCACAAAACAGGACTGAGTCATGGGAAGAATTAAATATAGAAAATACACAAGCTAAGAAGCAGCATTGTTCATATATATGTATATATATGAACGTTTTGATCTGGTTCAACTGTATACACACACACACACACACATATTTAAGTAGCCTATGATGAGTACCAGGGAAAGACTGGACCACAGGAGTCATGGGAGCATGCATGAAGTAGGCAGGATGCATTTTACACATACCTGAAGCTTCTCAATCAGAGGAGAGCTCTTCACCTTGATTTTAGGTGGGTGGCTGGTGCTGTATGGTGATTTCTACAGAGAGCAAATAAACCCAAAAGAATCAAGTGAGCCGGGGGAGGAGAGGGGGCAGTCTCTTAAGCTGTCTTCACCTTGGTGCTGCACCCACTTACCTCGCAGGCCTGGAGGAGGCAAGGCTTCCTGTATCCACCCCCCTCATCTCACCACAAGCAAGACTGCTTGAGTTTGAGCTGAGAAGTCAGGGCAGACATTCATACCACAGGAAGCCTCCCATCCCAGGAAGAATGACTTCATTGTCATTAGGAGGAAAAACTACATCTGGGGGGCGGGGATCAAGGCCTTCACCTCATGGCCTTCTACAAGGCAAATCAACAATTGGAGGGAATTTCACAGACAAAAGGCAGAAATGGTCATAAACAAAGCAACAAATCACAGGCTGGGGATGGAATTAGACAGAGGTATTATTAAAATCCCTTCACTGAATTAATATTTTGGAAAATCCCACCCATGGCCTGGTTCATATATTAATTTTCCCAAACACCGAATATTCAGTTTAATTTAGCAGATACATGTGTCAAGTATCTACCAAATGCCATCATGTATCATGCTAGTTCCACGAGGACGAGTGTGATTGACTGTCTGCCCTTAACTGACAGGCTGTGGTTGCTATCTATTACGTGTGCTCTGTCAATTACTTTCGTGATCAATGTACACCATGAATTTTTCCTGCTTTCAGATTATGTATTTGTAAAAAGACTGGCTCCCTGTTTTATGTTAAATTCCCACTACTTTGCAAAAGTGATGGCCGTCGTACGATGATTCAATGATGGTGGAGAATAGAAGATGATTTTCATGGTGACAGACAGGGCCGAGCACAGAAGGGGTTTTCCAGTAGTTTGGGACCAATATAAATGACCTCCCCCCATCTCCATATACGACTGTACTGGGACCACAGAAAAGAAATACTGCTGCTCTCTTGGTAATATTCTGGGGTGTCTGATTATGTTTCAGTTGTAGAGGAAGAGAGACGGACTCAACTGATCAGAGGCCTTTTCAGATGCCAGTGCCAAGGGAGCGCATGCTGCCATGGGGCAGTCAATGGCTGGGACTCAGAGACCTGCCTCCTTCTGACGCCAACGTTGATGAGTGGACGGATGCCTGCTCTACCAAGATTTCGTGGCTGTGGCAAAGAATGCCAAGGGCTTTCCTTCAAGCTCTAGATTGCCGCTGCCTCCATGAGTCTGCACTGACAGACTCGTTCCTAGGGCAGTCAGTCTGTCATGGAGCCTTTTGTTTCTAGTGAGCATCAAGATCCTTCAGCCCCAATCGGGAGGGTCTTAGTTTTTGGGTGTCACCAAGGATTTCGTGTGTTTTCATAAACGGCAGCAGAATTTTCTCTACCAAAGCTCACTTTAGGTAATATTATAAACTCTCCCAATTGTTTTCAGAAACAGTGGAAATCCAACAAACAGTGCCTTTTAACCACAGTGAGTGCTAGAGACCCAGCAGAAGTGGACTGTGGAACTAATGATTTAATGATCAAGTGCAACCGCTGGTGCAGTTCACAGGATGGTCAGCAGAGGGCAGCATTTGGCTTATAATTTAATCACAGGCTCCAGGCCCGTGGCTGGGGCTAAGACAATCTGCAGAGATAAACTAGCTTGACATTCATACATTTTATGTATATGTGTATTAATACAACATTCCAACAGTGTATCGTGACATCTGAAAGTTCTGGACCTGATAGTTTCAGATGGAGCGATATCCATGTCCTTTCAACATCCACCCAGTCATCCGGTTCTCTCAGAAAAGGTAACTTGTCACTTTGCCTACAGTCAGCCGGTGAAATCCTGGCGGCTGACCCCACATCTCAGGCCCAGAGGGTTCTAGGAGGTAAGGGATGAACTGATCCTTCCAATCCCTATGCTTGAGCAACCTAGGGCAACCCGAAGGCTCTCAGGGTTCCTGTGGGCTGCATGTGACCCTTCCACGCGGCCCTGCCAGGCGAACTGTGCCCTC